CCCCCCCGATTATATACAGAGTGTTTCAGCAAACCTAGATGTTGAATTCTTCATGATTCTTCTGAGTTTCCTATATTTCTTCTGATTTCATGAAAATCACAAATTCAATGAGTACAAAGAGTCAAACATTCATTTGTTTGAAAGGCATCGATGGAGTCTCTAAACAGTCTGTTGAATTCCGTAAAACATTGGATCCCGACTTTTCATAAAAAGAACAACGATGGTCCGGAAGTCTGAATGATCATTACGACTTAATGGCCTTTGTTTGCTTTTCCCCTTTTCTTCGCTTCCCTTAAAACGCTTAGATCATGTTTCGTCCTCTCGCAATTGTTCGCTCAAGGCTAGGACTCGAAAGAACGGCAGATTCAGTCAATATGCTGTATAACAGAATAGTACTTGCGCTCCGTCATGCCAAAAGACTTATTTGGCACAACTGAAAGTATATTTTGAGAGCTGCTCTTTAATCTTAATTGTCCATAAAACTGCCATGATACAGCCATTTATGGTTTCGTAATCTTATTTTTGTACGGTTTTATTTTTTCCTTCACGTTAATAATTTATATGACCTCCCTGTTTGACTAGTGAAACGACTGAAAGGCATCAGAGCCGCTCGAATTTCTAATGGGAGCTAAGGCTAGAATACCCTAAAAACAGGTACCGTGACGATCATTCCTCGATTACTGCTTGGTGTTTCGTGTCATAACTAGTGTAACTATTTTCAAACGACATTAATGCTGAACCTGATATGCCATTCTTTTGCCCTGCATTACATATGAAAATGATTTCGTGTGGGGTAATGTTCGGTAAGAACATCAGGGTCATGTTTGCTTGTATATTCCTATGCGGAGAGTGGCAAGTTTATTTGCCGCTGGAACGTGCCATTCTTCAGCGCAGCAGAGTGATACGGATCCTGAAATCCATGAAACCGTTACACCTCAAGATTCGTAAGTGCATTAAATGAAGGGGTGATGCGAAAGTCGAGTAAATCTAGAATTATAAATTGGCTATACGTAATTATCATCGAATATATAAGCTTCTATTTGTGAACATTGCTAGAGCGTATCAGATTGACGTTTTCCTCATAGGTTGCCTACGGATGTGGACAAATGATAAATTTTATTTGAAGCTCAACCTTGTCATTTTTCCCCAACTCAGTTTTTTCAAGTCAACATTCAGTCAAGCTGTCACTTTTACAGTTAACAGCTAAATATGAACGAATATCGCATATTGTTTTGTTATTTTTATGTTTAGTACGATCTTATTCACGCAAGCGTTACTTTTCCGCATTTGTTTTATTTGCAGACTACAACTTGCCACACCAGATTAAACAATTTCAAAATGCAGCCAAAAGTGGCACTTGTGTCAGACAGTGCGTTCCGGTATCACTACATCAGAATACCATGTTGTTTCCGTCGTTCGCGTGAGGTCGCAGGGTCTAAGAGGTCTGTTTTGGTCTCTGGAGGTTCGATTGGACTCGAAGGCAGCTTTTTTCCTATTCACGAATTACCGTGAGCAAGGAATTCACCACGTATTGCTTCAAAGATTATTCAGTCTGCAGAACATCGAACTCAGAACCGATAGGTCCTGAACTCAAACATCGGTCGAAGTCACTCTCCCTTTTTCCTTCTAAGGTTGATAAATGAGCACCACTCTACGGAAACGAAACAGCGGCTATAGGTTACGCTCGCCATATGGTTGTAGACTCCGCCTG